AAGCCACCAGTTGGTCTCTCGGATGCAGTTCTCATGCCGTCTTCCGCGTCCACATACGTCCTATCGCCGTATGTGATAGATGTCTCCTCCTGATTCAGTGCGTTTTTCCTGGCTGTTAATCAGTTTCTTGATATGTTCCAAACTGGATCACCTCTTGGTGCCGAAGGAGGTAACTCATTCAAATTAGAAACTTCTGATAACAGTGATGAGCAGGTTTTTGCTGTCAATTATTGCTTGGGACTCTCTTGATTTGCACAACTAAAAGAATGCTTTGAAGATGCTAAACTAAGGGGAGAAAAAGGCAGTAAAACAGCAAACAGCGCGCGCTTCAGGAGTGAGAAATCTCTCTGACACCAGTTGCTGATGTGCCCGACTTAGTCGAGAAGTTGAAGAGAAACAGACCGCTGCTTCATCGCCTGTTTGGTGAGAAATCATCACCTTATAGCTAATTACTGGACCTTGATTGGTTTGGGCTCAGTTGACTTGACTTTAAATACTTGTAGTAAATAAAGCCTTTCTGTCACTCATCGAATGAGGTGTCGTGTCAATCCCTGGGCTAGTCCCAATCCTAGGTTTTTATTGCTCAGAGACCAGTGGAGAGGGGGAGGGTCTGCACCCAGCCCCGTGGTTCCCTCCATGCCCGGGGCTGGGAGACAGGGCACCCTGTCGGCTCCTATTCACTTATTCTCCGCTGTCCGCCCGACGACGATGCTCTTTGGTGTGGAGCTGCTGCTTAGCCAGTCGGTCTCCAGCCTGCACCAGTGCAGGACAGACTGGGACCTGCGCATCCCCGCCCCCATTCTCAGAACAAAGAAGACACCATGAAAACCAGTAAAACCACCCCAAAATGGTTTTAATCTCCCTCGGACAGTGGTGATAAAATTGGTCCAGCGTCATGAGGTGTAGCGCCTTCTCTAAATTGTCAGCCTTGGCTCCATCTGCCCATTTAAGGAGTTTGTCCCACACCAGGGCCGCAAAATCAGCCATTGTCTTCCCAGGTTGTGGGAGGGTACTCTGGAATTTTTTCCGGAAATAATCTGGTCCCAACCTGAACCTTGAAGACACGGCATTTTTAAAGGCATCGTAGTTATCAGCTGAATCCGAGGGCAGGCTGTTCAGGACCACAGACATGTCGTCCTCGACCAGAGCAGCCATGTGTTTCATGAACTCTTCCTTTGGCAACTTCCATCGGCGCACTTGGTTTTCGAAGATGCTTAGGAACACTTCTGGATCATCCCCGTCTTTGTAGCGAGAGAAGATTGGGGTGTTCAGCCTGGGGGATGCATCTAGCGCTGGCTGGGCACCCACTGTGTTAGCATTTGCCTGCATGCAGAATACTGCAAGCTCATGCTCATGCTTGAGCCTTGCCTCTTCGGCCTCTGCCTCACGCCGTGCTGGGCTTCTCTGGCCTTGTACTCGCCCTGTTCCTTCTCATGCTGTCGCTGGGCCTCCAGCTCCATCCTTTTCAGCTCTAGATCATGCTTGAACTTGCGCTCTCGCTCCTCAGCTTCTAGCTGCAGCTGGAGTTTCCGGACCTCCCACTCAGAGGGTGGCCCGTCGGAGCCCTCCGCGGTTGCTGATTGGAGGCGTGGAGGAGATGTTGAGGACTGATCATTATCACACAGGATCTTAATCGGGTCTTCGTTCTTTTGCTCCTTCCTCACTGGATGGCCTCTCTCTTTCACCAGCTGTCTCAAGTCAGCCACTGTCATGTGGTCATACTTGTCAGCCATCATAGATTCATAGATTCATAGATGTTAGGGTCGGAAGGGACCTCAATAGGTCATCGAGTCCGACCCCCTGCATAGGCAGGAAAGAGAGGTTGGTCT